TTTCCTCGAAGTTCCTGTCCCTGCTAGGCTCAGTTCGAGAGGATGCCCCGTAGATTGCGATAGCGCCTAATTTTTCCAAGAGAGGAAAGCTTCGGGGGTGTGAAAGCAAAGCAAATTAGTAGTAAGCAAGTTACACCTGGAGATTTCCTCCCCTTGAAAAATTGGAATTAGGTGGGCAGCAGCAAATATCGCACTCATCATAGGTACCCCCCCCTACTGGATGAGGCCCCAACAGAAGGGAACGGCTGTGAAAACCCAAATGCTCTACGTGTAGCGCGATACGGTCTGAGTCATAGCGATAATACGCAAACCCCCACCCACGTTGTTTTTTATGAGTTTTCCCGCGCTAAATTTGCGAGCCATCAAGTGCAGATGGTGACTTGATAACAATCTCATGCATTTTTTGTCCTTTCAAATTGTTCACGAAAAATCGAATGTTCACGAAAAAGGATGGTTTTTGTCAAATTTGAATTTCACATATTTTATTTCAGATTTTATGGTGGACCTCTGAACGGAAAAGTCACTATGTCTCATGCAATTCATGCACCATCGGCACGCTCGAGGACGTTGGCATGGTTTTTAGCCGATGATCTATTGGAAAAGAAAAGTGGTAAGTAATATATGGGGTGAATCATTCTCTGTTCTTTAATAGTGTTCGTTGAATGGTTTAATTATCGATTCCATTATGTCCATGTTTGGCGGACGGCGGCGAACGCTGAAAATGATGAGATGGGCGGGTATAGTGGCGGCGTTGACGGCGTGGACGGCGATAGGGAGGAGCTTCTTCTCTTTGTTTCACATTCCTCGTTGCCCTCTTGTTGCTCTCTGTCTCACATCAACCTAATGAGTTCGCATGGGGCTGCAATCTCCCGAGTTCAGAAGAAGTACAGCGTCGTTTTGAAAAGATGCCGGCTGGGTGGAGCCAGTCGTGGCCGGCTGCCTGGGGTGTGGCCTGACGTGGGGCTGGGGAAAGGCGCTGGCGCTGGTCGTGTCGACTTCAAAGCGACCTACTGATGATGGTAGTTCGTCTGCCTTTCGTGTGTCACACGATCAGTTATTTTTGGTGTGATTTTTATCGATTCAATTACTCGTATTCACTTACTGTCAACAGCGTTGCGTTCGACTTGTTTTCTATTGTTTTGAATCTTACTCTCTACTTTTCTGCTTTCCACTGAAGCTATCGATTAGTAATATTAATCTGATCGATATGTGTTCGAAAGTTGACGAGAATCTGGTAATAGAATCATGTGTGGTGTATGTTTCAATGGCGAACATTGAATATAAACGAGGGAATGCGATCAAAGCTGTATAAACAGCATCATCGACAGGTGAAGCGTGTGGTGTTTGTGCTGCTCGATAATCGTTTTATGCTTTATATTCTGGAGGAGCTATCGCAAGATACGGGGGCATTGTTGTGGCAACAAGTTCAGAACCACATAAAACATCTTCTTTTTGTTAAGGATGGGAATAAGCCCTAGGCGGGAAAGGGGAGGATTAAGGGTGCATGAGCGTTGTTTTCATTTTCCCCGAAGTTCCTACCCCCTCCTAGGCGTAGTTTTAGAAAATGCCCCTGCGTCTTGCGATAGCGCCATTATGGGTTTAATATAATTGATTCTCTGTAGGTATTCCATTTACCAGTCGTCTGTCTCTTTCATGGAATCGTTTCGAGTTTCGAAATTGAGCAGAATGCGCTCGACAGAGTGTGACGTGGGAGAATCGAACAATTGTTCTACTTCAATAACCTCTTTTTTTAAGACTAAAAATCGTGCATTGAGTGGGAAGCGTTCTTGGCATAATTAAGGGTGGTTAAAGTGATGTGTGTAGGGAGAGAGAGAGAG